TTTTTTAGAATATCATGTCTCTTTGGTAATTTATTCAAATTACCTTTCTGTTTATACTTAAATTTAATGATACCTTTGTTCTTCCTATAACTTTAACTGAAACAATAAGGACTAGTTGTTCTTAATAGAAATATCTTCTAAGATAATTAATAGAACAGTATTTTCTTAGTTCAATAAAATATTATACCATCTTTTCACTAAAGACCTTTAGCAAGTTCATTAGAGTTCAAAGACAATTCTTTAGTGATAATTTGTTTATCAACTCAATAAAAGTTAGTATAAATAATCTTATTCTGTAGAGTTGTTTTATCATTCAATAAAAAATATATTTTTGTAAATATTTAATGATTATGTCTTTGTATTTTTAACTTACTTATTTTGTAATAAACAAATGAATAATTGTTTAGTGGTGACTTTTTTATCAAAAATGAGACTAACGTATTAGTGAAATAATCATAATATTATTTTCTTTCTTGATAAATCTACTCCCATTGTGGTATTGTTACTTATACCTATCCTGTAACTACTCTATACACTATATTATGAATTATCAATAAATACTATATGAATTAGTATCATAGACGAGTTATCAGAAGACAACAAATAAACTAATTAAAAACTATTGAGTATTGAATTTTAATATTTTTTTTAATCATATTTTAATTTGACTGATGATATCTTTATCAAATTTCTTATATTTATTCTTAAAAGAATATGAACTTTTTTTGAACTCAACAAAGAAGATGACACATTTTTTCATACTCTAAATACTCAAAGAGAATAAAATAATATCAAAATAAAAAAAGTATGCTTATTAAAATAGCAACCTTTTTCTTAAATCAAATTATGTAAATAACTGTTCATAACTATCTTTAGTATGTGGTTAAATGTTTATGTTGAAGTTTCAAGACAGATAATTGAGGTCCAGATTATGAATGATATTTATTTTCAATTCAAGTCAAAAATAAAATACAAAACTAAAAATGTTATTTAAAACAAAAAGAGATGATTCATCCACGATATTACTCATATGAATATTATGAAGATAATCCAAACACAACATCAATATGCTCAGATGATTCGTCTTTTAGTTTGTCAAGAGTTATTTGAGAAAGAATAAAATAATTAAATAATCGAACAGTTGATAATGGTGGATTTATTCCCCAAATTCAAAGCTTTAAGAATTTAGTGTCATTGAAATTCAACAATACTGAACTTAACCATTTGGATGAACTTATATCACTTCCACTGACTCTATTAGATGTTTCTAACAACCAAATAAGTTCATTATCTCCATTGATTCATCTTACTACACTTAAATTTCTTAATGCATCATCAAACCCTATTTTATTAATCCCTCCGTTACCAGAGCTTAAATCACTTTGTCTTGTCAATTGTCCATTAGAAGATAACAAACAAACAATAAGATCACTCTATAAAATGACAACATTAACATGCCTAGAACTTCCACGTTCTACTCATACAAAGTTAGTAGATCCCAGACAAGCTCTTCAAAGAACACGTTTTCAAAGAAGAAGAGGAAAATTATTTAAAACACAAAAAGAATATTATGAAAGAATTAATAATACACCTGCACCATTATTGTTTGATAGTGATGTTTATATTAGAACTCTTATTTTATTTTTACCACTTCTTGTTGTATTTAATAAAGAGAGAATTGATGGAACAGTTAGAAGACTAGTTGCACAATCTGTTAATGATGAAGTATCAATTCCATTACAACATACTCCAATTCTTAACTACATCCACCATACTCCATTAGGTAAAATACAAAGAAATTATAGTTCATTTGTATCAGCATTATATGGATTTAATGAGACACCATTTAAACAATTAATGCCAGAAATTGAAGTTCCAAGACAAATAGAATATAATAAATGTATTCCAGGAAAACTTATTGTAAGTTGTTTAAATGGAAAAATATATCTTTATGATCTTCAATCAAATACATCAACACAAATAAATTCTCCTTTTAATTCTTCACCATATGGGATTTGTTGGTGTTCAGAAATGTCAATGGCAAATAATTGTATTATTGGTAGTGATACAGGAAAGTTATGTTATTATGATTTTTCAAAAGGAAAAGAACCATTATTAACAATAGATAATTTAGAACGAATAACTTCTGTACATCTTAATTGTAATTGTTCAAAATTTATTACTTCAGGATTTGAAACTAATGTAAATCTTTTTGATTTTGAAACACATCAATTAGAACGTGTTTATGGATCTTTACATAATGAAAATGTTAATGTAGCAAAGTTTTCTAATACTAATCCATTTTTATTTACAACATGTTCATTTGATTCTTGTGCAGCAATATGGGATCTTAGAACAGATTGCTCTATTCCAGTAATACAATATACTGGAGAAACATTATTAGTAACAACAATATTCTCAGAAAATGATTTAAATATTCTTATTGCTGGTTGTGATAATTATGTTGAGTCAATTGACCTTAGAGCTCAAAAAGGAATAAAAATGCAATTAGAACGAAGATGGGATAATAATTCATTTTGTCGTGGTTATTATTGTAATGGAGGAGAATCTGTTGTTGTTAGTAATTCACATGAACAAACACTCCATATAGCAAGAACATATGATGGTAAAAGAGTTATTGATTGTCATTGTGATAACATTAATCATCAATATAATTTTGATGGTATTATTACTGTTAGGTGTGATCCATTTAATGATTTTGACTTTAGTTTAGTTATGAATAATGATTCACTAACTCAACTTGGGTTATTCCATTGCCAACTAGTCTAGCTAATTGATACTCAACACAATAATTTAAATGATATTGAAACTTTTGTTTGAAAAGAAACAAAAAGAAAACCATTCAGAAAGTCTATTTTGAGAACTTATTTCCATTAACAAAAAGTGACAAGTCATCGTGATTGTACAAAAAAGAACTTACTAATCATTTCATTATGTCTGATTTTACTAACCTTATTTATGAATTTCCAGCTGTTTCAACAAAAATGGAGAATATTGTCATTCTCACTAAAGCCTATATTGCTTATTTTAAAGAACGAGCTAGTTTAGAAAATGAATATGGTAAAGGTATTCATACTCAAAGTACTGTCCCAATGAAAACTTCATTATTTAATAAAGAAAATCCTGTTGATAAAACTGAATCTACTTTAAAGGCTATGCTTGAAACAATTAATAGTGAAAGTGAAAAAATTGGTCAAAAACATCTTGAAACAGCTAATAAAATTCTTAATGAAATTGTTAAGCCATTAGAAGCACTTGTTAAAGATATTGAAGTTGGAAAAAAGAA